GAGCCTAGGAGTTTGAGCTGCAGTGAGCTATGATTGTGTCAGTACATTCCAGCCTGAGTGACAGAGTAAGATCCTGCCTCAATCAATCAATCAATCAATGTGTTTTTTAAAATTAGTCCAGAGGCTGGGCCAGGCATGGTGGCTCACGTCTGTAATTCCATCACTTTGAGAGGCTGAGGCAGGCAGATCAAGTGAGGTCAAGAAGTAGAGACCAGCCTGGCCAACATGGTGAAACCTATCTCTACCAAAAATACAAAAATTAGCTGGGTGTGATGGTGCATGCCTGTAATCCCAGCTACTTGGGAGGTTGAGGCACAAGAATCGCTTGAACCTGGGAGGCAGAGGTTGCAGTGACCTGAGACTATGCCACTGCGCTCCAGCCTAGGTGACAGAGAGAGACTCTGTCTCAAAAAAATAAAATAAAATTAATCGAGAGGCAGTTTGTATTATTATTGTAGACATATTTTATCAAAAATAATAAAAAATAGACAAGGTATAAAAAAGAAAGAAAGCATTCATTTCCTACATTGTAAGAAAGAGAGGGCTCCCAACTTCCAGGTTTCCTTCATCAAGGTGGACATGCTGACATTATGGTTGTTCACATTCTTGTAGAACCAAGAGTAGCCACAGAATGTGCATCTATTTATTTGTTTTCCTTGCCACAATTATTTCCCATATTACCACATAAGCTGTCTACATATTTTTAATATCACTGTTTTGTTCTGTTCATGAAATTGTTACATGCTAGATGTATGAATAAGGCAAAAAATAAAGTCTCCCAAATCTTACCCTAGAGATAAGGATTGATAGATTGGTTTATAGTCTTTCAGAATTTGCTCAGGGCAGATAGTATTGTGTACCTGTCTACCAGGCTTGGAGTAGGTTCTGTTTATACAGAGGTGGTTTGGTAGGTGGCTGAAGGTAGACTCTTCCATGGACTACACACCTCAGCTTGCATGAGAGTGTGAGATGGGAGTCACGTGGATTACTTGGGAGCATTTTTCTGCCTTGTTTCCAGCAGTGAACAGAGACCAGAGGTGAGTCTTTTTCTCACTGGCTCCCATAGTCCTTGAATGACCTTGGACAGTCCTTTTAACTTCTCCAAGCCTCATTACTTCATCTGTAAAATGGGGCAACTAGTAATATCCAGTTTGAAAAATTGTTGCAAATATTAAATGAGTTGATTCATGCAATGCCTTAGCACTGAGCTTCTCCCTGTTGGCACATGAACATTTGAGGCCAGATACTCTATGATGTGGGGACTGTCCTGTGCATCACAGGATTCGTAGCAGCATCCTTGATCTTTATTGATTGGATGTCAGCAGCAGCCCCCCCAGCTGTGACAGCCTAAAATGTCTCCAGACATTGTCAAATGTCCTCCAAGGGAGGGGAGGAAGGACACATCACCACCTTCCCTACTGAGAACCATTGTCTTAGCACAATGGAGCATAGTAAATACTCAACAAACTCTCCTTAATATTAATATCATCATTATAACAGGGGAGCACATTTACTGAACATAAAACAGTCAATGGCTCAATTAATATAAATCTACTGGCATTTTAACTGTCCATGTAGGAGTCCAATTTCTTTTCCTACTCACAGGCCCTTCAGATCAAATACTGTTTAACCTCAGATGCAAACTTCTCCACATAAGAGCTTTTCATTTCTATAATATTAACATACTGCTGAAATACCACATAATGATATGATTCAGCTACTTTTATTTCCTTTATACCTCCTGAGTCCCCCCGCTTCGCCCACAGGTTACAGACAAGACTAAGCCTGCAATTAAAAAGCTGCTTTTCCTACTATATATACCTAATTTCTCATCTCTCATTTTGCATTAAAGTGTTTTTCCACAGAGCCTGAGGAAGATGGGATTATGTGTGTGCATGTGTTCATTCAGGGCTCTTTAGGATCTAAATCCCCGGGGATAAACTTGGAAAATGACTGAATTAATCACTTACGATCTGCGTTCGGTGCACATTATCATAATATTGATATAATGCACACACTGTTTTTTGCTTATTTCTATATTGAGTGAGGCCCTGCAGCAATTCCGAGGAAATTTGAGACTCACACACCTGGCTAAACGCTCTCTCTCTCTCTCTAAATAATCCAAGGTCTCCCGGTTTGCGAGGATCAGACTAAAATGAGTTACAGTTGCCAGAACATTTTAAAGTAGGGAAATAAATTAGAGCGGTAATAATCGTAACAATTATATAATAAATGTTAAGAATTGTAAGTTCCCCAGCGGTCTTAATAACTTAATTTTGTTGTTGGGGGTAGGTTGTGGAAATTCCATCATCTGCATCTGGTGACGTCATCAGGCTGAAATGAGAGGACAGGTTTCTTATTTCTGAATGTCACTAAGGTGCTGGATGAGGTGGTACTTTGGCTTTCCCGGCCATTTGCTGGGTTTGAATTATTAAAGTCATCATTTGCAAAATAAATTTAGGGCTTCATGAATATTGGTGGATTGACAATCTCCCTCTACCACCTTCTCTTTGTCTTTCTTTCCTCCTTTCTCTCTCTGTCTCTTAGAGGACTCAAGGCAGCCACAGCTGGACAAATCATCTAGATGCCCTCCTCCCAATAATTCCTCCATATCCAGTTGCAAACTGAAGAAAAATAGGACTGAAAATAGAAATGACAGAATGTCCCCAAACAAGAGACCCTTCCAGGAACCACGATGACTAGAAAGCCTGTGAACATTCCCAATCCTGTGAGCTGGGAGGTAGGGTTTGGTCTGGAATCCTTCCATTCAAGACACATGAAAGAAAAAGATTCAACTATGTACAAATCAGACACAATTCATAATAACGCTAGCCAGTGTTTGCATGCCAGGTGTTGAATGGAAATGCTTTGCTTATATTATCCCTTTTCTCCTGCAGTAGGGATTATTTTTAAAGTTTTAAAAAATTGATACATAATAGATGATGTACATGTTTTCAGGATACATGTGATAATTTAATGCATTCATATAACTTGTAAAGCTCAAATCAGTGTAATCAGGCTATCCATCACCTTACACATCCATCTTTTCTCTATGCTATGAACATTCAAATTGTTCTCTTCTAGCTATTTTGAAATATACAGTAAATTATTGTGACCTATAGTCATCCTACTGATCTATCAAACACTACATCTTCTTTCTCCTGTCAAACTGTATATTTTTACCATTAATCAATCTCTCTTTGTCTCTTCTCCCCATCACCCTTCCCAGCCTCTGATAACCACAAATCTACTTTCTATCTTCATGAGATTCACTTTTTTACCTCCTACATGTGAGTGAGAACATGTGACACATGTGTCTTTCCATGCTTGGCTTATTTCCCTTAACATATTGACCTCCAGTCCATCCATGTTGCTGCAAATGACAGAATTTCATCTTTTTTATGTCTGAATAATATTCCATTATATATATATATATATATATATGTATTCCAATGTGAGGTACATATCTATATCTCACATTTTCTTTATTCATTTATTCACTGTTGCTCAGGCTGGAGTGCAATGGTGTGGTCTCAGCTCACCACAACCTCCATCTCCTGGGTTGAAGCAATTCTCCTGCCTCAGCCTTCCAAGTAGCTGGAATTACAAGCATGTGCCACCATGTCTGGCTAATTTGTATTTTTGGTAGAGACGGGGTTTCTTCATGTTGGTCAGGCTGGTCTCAAACTCCTGATCTCAGGTGATCTGCCTACCTTGGCCTCTCAGAGTGCTGGGATTGCAGGCATGAGCCACCGCACCTGGCCTACTTTTAGTTTTCTGAATAGCTTCTATAACACTTTCCATAGTGGCTATACTAATTTGCATTCCCACCAACAGTGCATAAGGGTTCGCTTTTCTCCTTATCATCTGCTCTTCCTTGTCTTTTTGATAAAAGCCATTTTAACTGGGGTGAGATGATATTTCATTGTGGTTTTGATTGGCATTTCTCTGATTAGTGTTACTGAAAAATTTTTAATGTATCTCTTTTTTCTTTTCCCCTCCCTTCCTTCCTTCTTTCCTTCCTTCCTTCCTTCCTTCCTTCCTTCCTTCCTTCCTTCCTTCTTTCCTTCTTTCCTTCCTTCCTTCTTTCCTTCCTTTTCCTTTTTCTATTGAATTGTTAGAACTTCTATGTATTCTGGTTATTTTTATTTTCAATCCAGCTCCTGCAGGATACTCTGGTTATTAACTCCTTGTCAGATGTATGTTGCAAATATTTTCTCCCATTCTGTGGGGTGTCTCTTCAGTTTGTTGACGGCTTACCTTGCTGAACAGATGCCTTTCAGCTTGGTGTAATCTCATTTGTCTATTTCGGCCTTGGCTTCCTGTGCTTCTGAGATCTTAGACAAAAAAATTTGCCCAGACCAATGTCCTGGAGCATTTCCCCAAGGTTTTCTCCTAATAGTTTAAAAATCTCAGCTCTTATGTTTAACTCTGCAATCCATTTTGATTTGATGTTTATCTATGGTGAGAGACAGGGCTCTAGGTTTTTCTTTCTACATATGTTTACCCAGGTTTTCCAGCACCACTTATTGAAGAGACTACCCTTGCCCCATTGTGTTATTGGCAGCTTTGTTGACAATGAGTTCACTATAAATGTGTGGGTTCATAGCTGGGTTTTCTATTCTGTTCCATTAGTCTATGTGTCTGCTTTTATGTCACTACCATGTTGTCTTGGTTACTATAGCTTCATAGCATATTTTAAAGCCAAGTAGTATGATGCCTCCAGTTTTGGTCCTTTTACTTAGAATTTCTTTGGCTATTCAAGGTCTTCGTGGTTCCATATAAATTTTAGATTTGTGGTGGGACTATTATTGTACCCATTTTACAGATGCGGAGACCAGGGCTCAGAGGGTATGAATCACTTGTTACAACAGCTTTAAACAGGAGAGGTTAAGGTCAAACCCAGATCTGGGTGATTCCAAATTGTTTCGCAACCTCCTAGGAGCCCCAATATAGTGGGTGGAAGCCCAGACTATGGACTTGTTTGAGGGCTGACTTATCTTCTAACCAGTTCTGTGAACCTAAGTCAAGCACTCCAGTCTTCTCAATCTCAGTGAGCCCAGCTGTGAATGCAGGAAATGATCATAACCAGGGTCATTACCCATACTGTGTCTTTATGTAATTAGAAAAAGCCACCCTTCCCTCAAGTCACCTTATTTCCACATTGGAATTCTGTCATAATAGACTGTCATTAAACAAGACACCTTACTGCCATCTTCTGGTAAATGGTTGTAATAAATACAGTCAGCCCTCCATGTCTGTAGGTTCTGAATCCATGGATTCAACCAACTGCAGATGGAAAATACTCAAAACAGCAACAAAAGTGTCTGTAGTGAACACATACAGGCTTTTCTTCTTGTCATTATTTCCTAAACAATATGATGTATCAACTATTTGCACAGCATTTACATTGTATTAGGTATTAAAAGTATTCTAGAGGTGATTCAAAGCATACAAAAGGGTGTGTAGGTTACATGAAAATACAATGCCATTTTATATCAGGGACTTGAGAATCCTCAGATTTTGGTATCTGCAAAGAGTCCTGGAACTGGTACCCCATGGATACTGAGGGGTAGCTGGATATACATAAATGTACAAAGGCAAGAATAGAGGGATGTGAATGACATCCCTTTTGTGCAGTGAATGACATCCCTTTTGTGCAGTGCATGACCTGCACAACTGTGCATGGTTGTTCAGACAATTCTCCACTGGATTGTTAGAAAGAGAAATGATGTAACACTTTGGTTTAAAAAAATGGTGCACAGATTCTCAGCAAATGTTGACTACTCTGTTAAGTTCTGGCTCAGACTGGATGATACCATCTCTCTGGGCCAAGTGACAGTCACTGGGAAATCTCACTTGGGGACTGTGTCTCTCACTCAATTGCAGTCTATTTCTCAGCACGTATCTCCCTAGCCCCATGTTTTTGAACACTCTGGCTATCCTGGACAGCAATTCTCTGCTCCTTTCTTGCCTCCTGGCCAGGAGAAAGGATTGAGATACCTTTTGCGGGCTGCCTTCAGAAATCGCATCTGGCATTTCTTAGACTCTTTGAATCTCTGACACTCCCTGGACAGCCTTGCAAATTGTTGAATATGTTCCATGAGCTTTGCCCCTGGCCATGGAATGGGATAGGGACATGAGTCTAGGATTCCACCAAAACTTAGTTTGAACCCTATTTTTTCCATTACTGCTGTGTGACTTTGGGTGAGCAACTTAACTTTGCTGGGCTTTAGTTTCTTTACAGGTGAAAAGGAATGACTTGTTAATATATCTATCTATCATAGAGCTATGACCTGAAGACAAAAGGAGAAATGTGTTTATTAAAGCATTTATGAGTAAGCAATCCCCAAATTAAAGTTATTATTATCATTAACAACAGGGAAAGACAATTAGATTTTGTAATAGGTCATCCATTTCCAGCTGCCAATCTGATCTCTGAAGACCTTTTTGTTTGAACCCCAAATCTGAAAGACCTTTAAAAATGTATCTGTAGCCAGGCACAGTGGCTCATGCCTGTAATCCCAGCACTTTGGGAGGCCAAGACAGGTGGATCACTTGAGGTCAGGAGTTTGAGACCACCCTAGCGAATATGGTGAAACTCCATCTCTACTAAAAAAAACACACACACAAAAATTAGCAGGGCATGGAGATGCGTGCCTGTATTCCCAGCTACTCAGAAGGCTGAGACAGGACAATCACTTGATCACAGGAGGCAAAGGTTATAGTGAGCTGAGATCACACCACTGCACTCCAGCCTGGGTGACAGAGTGAGACTCTGTCTCAAAAAAAAAAAAAAAAATAGTATTTGTATGAAAAACTAAAAGTCTTTACTTCTGCACTGAAGGCATCATACAAAACCAGACACATCCCAGCTTCTGTGGGGCAGTTGCTTCACTCAGGAAGTGTTTTACCCTCACAGATGTTTCTTCTCCAAAAACAAATACACTAGAGATACCAAAGGCTGTGAATCGGGGACCAATGAGCCCTGTTTCCTCTCCACGGTTCTCATGTTGCCTAACCCATTCTTCTAACCACTGAATGCCTTTTTTTTCCTGGAATTTTAGGCAGCATCAGGACATGCCCTGTTTCCTAGTTTCTCATCTTATGTTTTCTGTCTGCCTGATCCCCCGTGCCTGGCTCTGAACCTCCAGTGGCTTCTCTGTCAGCCTGAGGATCTGTGGCTTATTGAAAATGCTCTGGTACACAGAGTACATGCCTAGGTTGTTACTGGCTAAAAAACAGCTGTTTTTGGATGGTGGTGTAGTTCATTCTGGGCGATATGAACCAGGCAAGGAAGAAGCCACTCTGAAGGGCAATTTGAATGCAGATGGTACAGAAATGCAGATCCTGAGGTGGCTTCTTCTAGAGCAGGTGGCCTTCTCTCTCCAAACCCATTCACACTTCCATTGTCCTCAAATGTTTTTAAATGCAAATGCTGAAAAATTTTCACTGACATGTAGCGTGTAAGAACGGAATCTTTAGAGGAAACTTGCCTGATCTCCGAAGTCTGCCATTCAGCCGCTGTACACAAATTACTTCCCCTCTCTTGGCTTCAGTTTCTTCATTTGTAAAATAGAAATGAAAGATAATTTCTACCTCCTGGGTCTGTTGTGAAGGTTAAAAGAGATAATGCTTTAAAAATGATTGGCAAAGCGTCTGACTTGGGGCAAACACTCAGTAAAGCTTAGGCATTATTATAAGGCTTTTAATCAAATAGAGGCTTTGTAGGGGGAACCTACTCTCAAACCAGGAAGAATTTTGGAAAACTGATTTGTTTAACATATTCTGGATGTCTCTGGCTGGTCTCTTCCATTAAAAAACAAAATCCCCCAAGGAGGCTACAGTGTCAGCACAGCACAACTTGTTCCAGGCCACACAGTAAGTTTGATTTGGGCTCCCAGGAACAAAATCCAGGCCCATGACCTCACGTCAGATGGCCGAGCCTCCCTGCTCTCAATCACAGCCAGAAATGTCACAGTGAACGGAGTCACGTCTTAGGGGAGGAAAATGAGATTTCTCTCTTGCCTTGATCTGACTAGGGATTCCAATCAGGAAAGAAGCTCAGCCCCCTTAAAATTTCCTCTGTCTCCTCTTCATTTCCTAAATGCCTGTTCCGCTCAGTGATACCCAAACACCCAAATGCTTCCTCGCCAAGACTCGGACTTCGAGGGCCCCCTTCAGCTGCCCTGGCTAAGAGGGCAGGGACCAGAATGAGGCTTCGCATGGGGCAATAAGGTGGTGAAACTATCTCGGTAATCAAGACAGATATTTTAAGACTGTATTTAAAAGGCCAAAATGAATGCAAAAAGAATCCCACGATGAACAAAATGTAAGAATCTTAAACCAAGAAAAAAAATCAATAACCAGGATAGCGCCCTCTTACCTGCAGCCCACAACGTAACCAAATAAAATGAGATTTAATCCTGACCCCTTAGCCTTATTCCTTTTGAATTTCCTGTAAGGGCCACATTCACAAATTTCCACCTTCCCTCCCTGGGCGTCCCCTTCCCCATAGAGGTGAGCTGGGGTGAGCTGCTCAGAGGCTGTTTGGAAGGCGAAGGCCAGCGGAAGAGGACTTGGGTGGGACCTTTCAACTTTCCATCTTGTTTCTAACTTCATCTAGCCTGCCCTCCTTAATCAATAAAACAGGAATTAGGTCTCAGATCCAAGAGTCGGTTTCTGTCTTCCAGTTTATGACTTTGGCCACCTCGCAGTCTTTTTAAAGTTGCTGGACCAGCTTCCTGAAATACCTGAGGTCTCAGATGCAGGTAGTAAACAGATGTGGGGGCTTCCCATTGCCAAGCGGGCGGGGCAAGTTCAACGTCCAGCTTCCCCGACCGCGCGGGGCGCCTGTTGCTCCCTAGCCGAAAACGTTAAACCTTTTTCTTTGATCCCGCTCTCTTTGGGGGAAAAAAGTCTGGGGATGAGGGAAGTAGGGGGAAAATGAGGTGCCTGCTCGAAAAAAGTTTTGATGACCGCCTGCCTCTGGCTCCAGCTCCGCCCTCCCTGAAGGGAGAGGACTTTGAATTCCAGAACCGGAATCCTTCGGTTTTTTTTTTTTTTTTTTTCTGAAATTGATCGATTTTATCCGGGAGCTTCAAATCGAAACCAGGAGAGGCTTTGAAATGTCAAAGAAAAGTCGCAAAAGAAAAAAAGGGGTGGGGTGAGGAGGAGGAGGAAGGGGAGGGAGAGTTAAAAAAAAAATAAAAACAAACAGGGCTAGTAGGCAGGCAGAGGTTTTGTTTCGAACTGAAATCGCGGCGCTGCGTACCTTTGTAAGGGTCCTTAACCTTTTCACCCATTTGGTGGTGGTTGTGGTGGGCACCTCGTAGCTCTTTGAAAATCTAGTAAGAGCTATGGACCGTCTGCCTGGAAAAATGCCGTTTAGGGACGTGCAAAACCTTGCAGTCAATTTCAGGAGGCTTGGCGGGAGCCGGGAGTGGAACCGTTTTTTTTGCGCAACTTGGAAAAGTTTTTGCAATATTCTCTGCTCGGCCATTTGAGTTGGAATGGAATCGTTCCCAATTTTAATTTTTGAAGAGACGGTTTGGCCTGGCGTAATCTCACCCCATTTGGTCGGGGAGGGGAATTTAAAAATTCATGCCTTCTCCACCTTCTGGAGAAGTCAAGATCCCGCAGGCGCGGCTGATTAGCTGGGGGACCCCGATGCGACCTTGCACTAAGAGCAGGAGAACATGGGTGCCCCTGAAGCCCCGCCTGCGCCGGGTTCCAGAGAGACCACCTCCCCACACTCGGGGATCTGTCCCCCAGTCCTTTCCTTCTGGACTCCAGGCCCTACAGTCCTGCAGCGGGGAGCTGGGGAAGAGGGATGAGTTCAAAACGAACTCCCCCTCCTTCCCTTTGAGATAAGGCATCAACACGGGAAGCTGGTGCAGGGAAGACGGGTCCGGGGAGCTGCCTCTTCAGGAAGCCCGGGAAATACTGATTCGATTGGTCGCAGGGAGCTTCCAGTCTTCTTCCTGCCCTGGGGCTAAAAGGATCGAAATACGTTTTTTAAGAATTCATGGGAAACCTCGTTTTAAGAGGCTTAGAAGCTGTTTTGAAGCCCTCCCCTCCCCCTTACGGCAAGGAGCCCTGGGGTTTGGAGCGAGAAAGTGGGTGCGGGTCTTTTCAAAGAGAGCTGAGCTCCTTCTGCAGCTCCGTCTCCATCAGTGGTCCAGGGCTGGCGCTGCAGAGGGAGGAAGGCAAAGTGGGCACAAAAGGGCTCTGGTGTCACTGATGGCAGCTGTCCCCAATGGCCAATTATGGCGGGACAGGGAGGCACTAAGAGGCTTGTTGGCTAAGGAAAGATGGAAGGAACATCAGAGAGAGATGTACAGAGATAAAACACTGAGAGGAGCATCAAGGAAAGAGACAGCCTGAGGAAGAGATGCATACAGAAAAACAAAGCACAGTGAGATACTGAAACAGACACAGAAGCAGCCGAGAGCAATACACAAGAGGTACACAGAGCAACGCAGAGAGACATAGGTGGGAACTGCAGCATCCCGGGAGTAGAGGGTACATCACCCAGGGCCTGGTGATCCCCGGTAGCCAAGCTGTAGCATGGTGACAGGAATCTCAGTTTCTGGGTGCCCTGAACATGGGAGTACCAATGATGGGGCAAAGTGGCTCCTGCCAACTCCCTGCCTTTAAGAGAGGGGCACAGTCAGAAGACAGGGCAGAAGGCTTTAGAGCATAGGGACTCTGTTGACCAGGACTAAGAGTGGCACTGCCCAGCATGGCTGGACCCATGTACATGCCCCCCAGAGCACCTCACTGTCTGCAAATTTTGCTGTGGGTGCTTTCCAACACACATAGTGTATCCACTCTCTGAGGCCTTAGCCATGCTCAGCTCCTGCCATAGCTGTTTCCTCTGGGAGCAAATTCTGCAAGAAACTCAATCTGCTGTGTGCAGAATTATGGGTTATTCTTGGCTCCTGCCTTGCCCTCACCCTTGGTGCAAACACAGACATCCACACAGAGCAGAGCAGGCTTTGCAGGAGTGCTATGGGGTTTGGAGTTATGCTGGGGAAACTGACCTCTTGTTTCTCCCTCTCTGGGGCTGGAAACCTCCCAGCACCACGGAGGAAAAACAAAAGCATTCAGAAGCAGATTTGGAGGGAAACTCACCTTATTGTTCTCTGGTTTCCCCCTACGATATGGTTTGCCAGGACCCCTGAAAAGGTCTCTCTGATTCCCTTCCCAGACCAGAGTACAGCTGGGGTTCTTCATGTGGTCCCTGCATACACCTGAGGCTCATTGCAACCCCCCTAAAATGATATGCAATATTGTATATGTCTACACCTTTGCCTCTCTATGTCTGTGAATGTCTGTCTCTGTCTCTTTGTCTCTCTCTCTATCTCTGTCTGTGTGTATGTGTCTGTGTATTTTGGATACGGGGCTCAGCCTCCATCAGGTTATCCAAGATGCCCATGATTCCAAAGAGGTTCTGAGCTTCTGGGCCAGGAGATTAAAGATGTTGGAGGAGAAGTGGTGCCCACATTCACCAAGATGTCTAGAAGAACCTTAATGGCAACGCTGCGGCTAATAGCCCCACAAGTGAAACTATCTAAGTAGCCATCATCCACAGTGAAACATAAATACATTGTGGCAAATTCACTGAGAAGAGTAGTATACTACAGTGAAAAATGAATGAGCTACAACCTCTTGCAAACATGTAGATGAATCTCACAAACATAACATTGAGTGAAAGAAGTGAGACACAAAAGGATAGCTTCCTGTTGCTGCTTGAGGAGTCTGGCTTAACTTGAACTGTGGTGTGTCTCATCTTTTCAGGTTCCTGAGGGCTAAACTCTAAACTGTTCTGTTAGCAGAGGTCTTGGCATGATCCCTGAGAGTTTATCATGAAGGATCTGTCCCCTTTATAATGCTGAAGAAGGCAGGGGCAGAAAAAAGAATTAAATGGGGCAATGTGCTCTGGGTGGGAACTTAACTTGGCCAGGGACAGTACAGATGGAGGGGTAAAGCAGCTCTGGAGCTTGGAAAATAATTATTTTCCAGCCTGTATTATTGTCCCTGGGAGCACATTAAGGTTTGAAACCCAATTCCAACCATTCTAAGAAGGATATTTAAAAGTTGGCTCTACCATCGCTCTACTCTTCCTTTTAAAGCTAATTTAAAAAAACCAAAACCAAAGTCTTACAGCCCCCACCACCTCCGAATTCTTTAAAAAGCCCACAATATGATGATCTGGGCAGCATTACTGATCACAACTTGCCCAGAGAGGTTACTCTAATAATCTTTTGAAGTAAATTTTTACTTTCCATCTTTATACCAAATAGCTATGTATATATTTCCCTCTGTTTTCTCCCTTGTTAAATTCCTTAGATGCAGGAGCCAAAGGAAGCCTCATGCAGAACCAAATTATCTGTGTTCCACATGTTTAGTTTTTAATAATAAAATAATAAAACAAAACAAAACCCAAAGGGTGCAGAACTTCAGACCATACTTTTATGACCTGATTGGACGGAACCCGCCACAGCCATGCATGGAGGAAGAGAACCATGGGGGAGGGAGATTTCTTTTCTCACCTGAGCTGTCCAGGGGTCCAAGACAAGTCGAAGCTCTCGTCTTGTCCCCTAATCCTAGGCCACTCAGGAATCCTCCTCACCCACGTTTGCCCCTTCTGAAAAGGCTGGAGGTTCTTCTGGCAGAGAGTGGGCTCTGGCTGAGAAGTTGCCTAGTTCAAAAGTAACTCAGCTCGGAATTTTTTTTTTTTAATTGTTTTTAACAGCTTAGATCACCGCATGTGTTTGCCTAAGCCACTTCGTTTTCCATTAGCTCAATATCTATTTTGAACATCTATTATCTGCCACATGGTGAGCTAGAACTAGAGACAGAGAAGTAAGCATGATGAGTATAATACCCTCCTCAGGAGTCAGACATTCTAGAGGAGAAACAGACAATAAGCAAGTTAAAATATATATAATATGTAAATATATTATATATGTCTCATTTATTTATGTAAAATATATTACGTATTTCTCATTTATTTATATATTACACATGTCATATTTATTTATATAAAAATACATATATCTCTTATTTATTATAATATATATTATATATTTATTTATATAAAATATGTAATATGTTTCTTATTTATATATATAATTATATTATATATGTCTTATTTATATAAAAATACATATAATATTTCTTATTTATTATAATACATATATATTTCATGTTTATTTATATAAATATATAGTACATATTTTTATTTATGTAAATATATATTATTTACTTATATAAATATATATTTCTTATGAATTTATATAAAAAATATATCATAAAATATGTGTGTTTATATATAATTTTAGAAATCATTAAGTACTATGCAAAAAAATAAAGTCATGTGAGGAAAAAATTGTGATGGGTGAGGATATCCTTTAAATAAAACAAGATCAGAGAAGTCTTTGGCCTCCCTAAAGAAGTGATTTTTCATAAGACAGGTTTATTGAGATAATTTACATACATTAAAATTATCCCTTGATAATATTATAGTTCAAGGAGTTCTGATGAATACGTCCCATTTCATAACTACCACCAAATCAAAGTATACAACATTTTCCAGCCCCCTGAACATTTTCCAGCCCCTATGAATCTTTTTACAGCCTGTCCATTTGCCCACCACCACCAAGCCCTCACAGCCCCCCAAAACCAGTGATCTGTTTCCTCTCCTCTAGTTTTGTTTTTTCTGGCCGGTGGTAAAATGGAATTGTACAGTAATGCAGACTCCCATGCCTGGCTTCTTCACTTAGCCCAATATGCTTGAGATCCATCCATGTTGTTGCAGCTATCACTGGTCTGTTCCTTTCTGTGGCTGAATAGTATGGGTGGTATGGATGAACCACGGTTGCTTAGTCTGTCCCCCAGCTGATGAACAGTTGAGCTGTTTCCAGTTTTTAGCTCTTACATATGAAGCTACTATAAACACTTAGTCACATGTCTTTAGGTAAACATGGGTTTTCCTTTTTCTTGGGTAAACACATAGGAGTGGAATTGCTGGCTTATATGTATGCATGACTCCATGTATAGTTGTATTAGAAGCTGCCAAACTATTTTCCAAAGTGGCTCTGCCATTTTGCATTCTCACCAGTTCCACATCTTTGTCATACTTAGTATTGTCAACCTTTTTCATTTTAGCCATCTTAGTATGTACATAATACATTTCCCTGATGACTGACAATGTTGAGCATGTTTTTGTGAATGGATTGGCTATTACATAAAATATAATTTTTATGCTATGTTTACAATGTCTAATGACCAATTATTTACATGTTTATACTTTGTAACATATATATCATATAAAACATATTTGAATTAAAATTCAATAATGATAGGAATGCACCATAGTAGGAGGAGGCAGGGGAGACTGTTCCAGGCAGAGGGAACACTGTCCCAGGTAGTGGAAACAGCAGTGGTGAAGGTGCTGAAGTGGAGCCAGGTAGGGATGATAGAGGAGCAGAAAGTCCAGTAAAGGTACATCCTGGTGAGGGAGGATGATAGGGGAGAAGTTGGTAGGCAGAGCCAGGGCAGGGTTGCATATCAACCGAAGGAGAAAACAGAGCCCTTTAGGTCATATTGTTGCATAAGAATCTACCCAAATACTTTGGAGTTTCCAATAACAAATCTTGTATGGTCGCTCATTCTAAGAGTCAGAAATTTAGACTGGCGCCATAAAGGTGGATTACTGCTGCTCTGCAATGTCTGAGATCTGAGCTGAAAAGATTCAAATGCCTGGAGGTGACTTGGTGGCTAGGGCTGGAATATTCTGAAAGTTTCTTTACTCACATATCTATTGCTGGATTGGAACCACTTGGAGGCTGGGCTCAACCGGGACTGTCTGCAGAACACCTACATTCGGCCTTCCCATGCAGCTTGACTTTTTCACAACATGGTGGCCCCAGGGGTATCAGACTTTTTCCGTGGAGGCTTAAGGATGCAAGCAGAGGTGCTCTAGGGAACAAAGCCGATGCTGCATTGACATTTATAGCCCAACCTTGGAAATCATAAAGCATCATTTGTGCCGCATTCCATCAGTAGAAACAGTCACAAACCTGCCCATATTCAAGCAGAGGGAAGCTAGACTCTCCACATGGTGCGGCAGGGTCATGCTGAAGAAGAAGATGTAGAATGGAAGATATCGCCGTGGCAGTCTTTGGAAAATAGAATCTGCCACAGAGTAAAACCTGAAAGTGATACAGCTTGTTCTGCTCAACAAATGCTTCTGAGGGGTGATGAATAAGCATGTGGATGAATAAGACCCAGTCCTTGAACTTGAGGAATTCCCAAGGCAAATGGGGGAGACGGATATGTAAATAAAAACCATACTGTACATACTTCTACAGCACGTATCATATTAGGCTATAAAGTCCCCAGGAAGCAATCCATATTGCCTGGGAGGTAGATGAGGGGCTTGGGCTGGGGAATGCTCAACGATTTACCACTGGGCAAACGCAAATGCAGTGGAAAGAGCATGATCAAATAGTGATTGTTCAGGCAGAAAAGGAGGTTGCAGATGAGGCTCAAAGGCAGGCTGAGCCTATTTAGAAGGGCTTCTAAATAGAAGCTGGCAAGTTGGACTAAATCATATAGGCAATGGCAAACTATTGAGAGATTAAGCGCTGTGATCAGATGCATGCTGCGAAGAACATTTGGGGAGCTAGAATGGTGGACAGGTTGACCATTGATTAGGGATACACTGAAAGTCCAGAAGCCAAGAGAGTGGTTTATTCAGTAGTCCAATGGAGAAGTGACAAGCGTGCAATTGACACCAAGGTTGGAGAGGAGGGAAGAGTTAAGTGTCTCCGCAGTGAGTTCAACAGGGTTCTTCAAGAGTGAGGAGGAGTTCAGGGGAAGGAGAATGTTCCTCCCCTGGGCAGATATGTGCCTTGTTGGTCTCAGCTCTGGCTGTGAACTCAAATCATCTGGAAATGCTTGAGCCTGATCCCAAGGCAGCTAAACCAAAATCTTTCGGTTGGACACCAGGCATGGGTACTTTTTAAAAAGCTCTCCTGCTGATTCTTGTGTGCAACTGAGTTTGGAGACGGCTGGGATAAATGATGCATTTCAAAAGACTTTATAGAGACCTTAGAGAATACTGGTTTGGGCAGAACAAAAAAAAAAAAAAAAAGATAAGTGATTTTGATTTTGGACATTTTGGGTTCATGATAACAAGGATTTGAACCTTTCTCTGGGAGACAACATAGTTTAACAGAAGTTAGTTAATCCATGAAAAGAGATGAAATCATGTCTTCCATAGTAGTGTTACAAAGAGGATGCATTGTGCTTGAAAGTCACAGAAAAGATTTCCTCAGTCTTCACCATCCAGGCACAGCGCCTCAGGCATTCTATCAGTCCCACAGCAACCCTAGAAGACAGGCACAGTTATTGTGATGTCCATTTTGCAGAGGAGGGAACTGAGGCTCAGAAAGACCAAGTAACTCGCCCAAGTTTACATAGGGAAGGAATACAGTGGCAGAGGCCAGAGTCGAACCCAGACAGTCCAATCTCAGAAGTGGATAACTCATCTTAGCATCCCATTCATGTTTGCATAACATGAATTGATATCACGATGACTGCTGTGGTATTAGCACTGTTGAAATGACTGCCCACATTAAACCGAGTTTTGCTATTTCCACTGCTTACGTTACAAAGAGTGACCACACTCATTCTGTGTCATTACGGCTCTCTCCACAAGCCCTCATAAACCATCACCATTGCCTTTTCATTTACACAGTCCTCTGGGCCCAAAGGCCTCTGAGAATTTAACAGAGCCTCCACGGCATATCATAAAACAAAACCAAATGCTCTCTTCTCCCCCCCACACCCCCTTTCCCTGAGTATCTGTCAAAGCCAGTGGAGAAATAGAAACCAGAATCTCCAAACAATACACTTCCCCACAGATAATAAATAAAATTTCCAAATAAGGGGGTTGGGGAAGAGCGAGGAGTCTCACAAAGGCTGGGGGTGGGGGGTGGGGGCGGCTTGGGTGCACCGTTGCACGTTGTGCAATAAGCCAAGCAGGCACCAGCAGACCCAGGGTAAGGAACCAATTGAGATAAAAAATGGACGTCCACATTACATATGCCGTGTGCACATAAGAGTGTGGATGCCAATAAGGAACGCAGTCCACATCAGCCCCCTTTGCTGTTTTGCACACAAATAAATACACATGTTGCCTCGTGTGGAGCAGATGTTCAATGAATTCTTATGCAATGCATCAAAGTACCAATATTCATTTGCGAATTTTCCAAGTACACATGTTTATGAGCAAACATTTCTCTCCTCTCACAAATATGGGTCCAACGAGCATTTTTAAGAAACCTTTGGTATTAGGCCAGGCACAGTACCTCATGCCTGTAATCCCAGCACTTTAGGAGGCCGAGGCGGGAGGATTGCTTGAGGCCAGGAGTTCGAGACCAGGCTGGCCAACATAGAAAGACTCTCATCTCTACAAAACAGGAAAACTTAGCCAGTCCTGGTGGTGTGCATCTGTAGTCCCAGCTACTCAGGAGGCTGTGGCTGGAGGATTGCTTTAGCCCAGGAGTTGGAGGCTGCAGTGAGCTATGACTATGCCACTGGTCTCCAGCCTCAGCAACAGAGCAAGACTCTGTCTTTAAAAAATGTTTTTAATAAAATGTTTTTTGAAAATAAAGATAAAC